TTCATAGCAGGACATTAATGAATATCTGGTGATTGAATGAGCCTCGGCTGTGTGTCGTATTCAAGAGTTGTCCATTTCATTAGTTGTTCATGGACCGAGACACCACCAAACATTAGGTCTGGAAATCCTAGAGCTGTATCTAAAGACCTAATCAGCAACAGGACTCCTACAGTTAGAAATTACCCCTTGTTTAGCAATGACCTTTATCTGGAGTCAGCACCCTCCCAAAGTCTCTGCTCATTTGGAAGATTGCTAAGCATCTGTGACATTGTAGAGATCATAGATTTTTAAGACCCTTTAAGAATTATATAGATGATGTTTGTGTTTAATTGGAGGTGAAGGGAAAAGAATTTTGTCTTTATTATTTAAAATTGAGGTTAATTTTTTAAACGATCATCTTTTATAATACAATAATTCTGTACCAACCGATCAGAGCCATATCCTATGGATCTAAAAGATGGAGAAACATTTGTAGAATGAAAGATCTGGATGTTTATGTTATTCCAGCAAATAAACAACTTTTACTGCATTTATTTTAGAAGACAAGAGAGGCTACCACTTGTCTTAGTTATTTTTTTTCTTGATGCCTACTGCCTCTTTGTGAAATGTTTGATGGATTGATACAGTGATTCACATCCAGCTTTGATTTTTCCCACAAATTCCATTTAGAGTTGATCTGCCAGGCTTTTAGAAAATGCTTTTTGAAAATCCATAAAGAATATACAACCTTTTCCCCCAGCTAACAATCTTTTTTGTCTATTAATCACTGTCTGAAAAGGAACACGTATTGTTAGTAGTGAATATTGCATACTGATCTCGAATTCGGCTTTTTAAATATGCTGGCAAATGTCCCAAGGGATAAAAGAGACTGTAATAAACAGGTGGCTGGCATTTCAACAGTTATTATATTGAACTGCTTTTTTTCAAAAGAGACCGTTAAATTCATTGTGATTGCTGCAAGCATGGAGGGCTGCATAACCTGACATCAACATCAGCTCCACTGTTACCCGGTGGATTCATCATCACTTGTTGGGACCATATTTTGTGATGCTTCTAGGCAGGAGACCTGAAGAGCTATTCCTGTGCTTCCTGGATGGAAGCACTGCTGGGTTTTGTTTGGAACATTTATAAATAGTTGCTATTTTTCTATTGAATACACTAGTGATAGCAAATATAAACTTACCATTTATGGGATGGCAAATATCCTAGCCCCAGGTAAGTACAACCTAGGCACAGAGTTTGTAGACGGCTTGAGTTTGAGTGTAGGAAACTGGTTCAAGGACACTGGGTGAGTTAAGAAAACCAAAGTGATAAAAAATTTATTGCTAGTACAGCATGACCTTCTTCAGAAGCCGTGACCCACACCACTCCAAAATCTCGTGTAAAGATTTCTGAAAGTTGGAGAAAGGTCCTTGACCCTGGTCTGCTAGTGGAACATTGATGTTGGAATCCCCAAGCTTCACTCTCCAAAACCACATTGCATCAGTCAGGGAAACAAAAATCACTCAAGCAGGAAGGAATTCAATAAGGATGCTTATAAACTTTTGGCTGGAAGAGCAAAAAGTATAGAAAGTCCTCCACACTGCAGGAATTTCAAGCAGAAAACTTAGAAGGGCTGAAGTAGTACTAATTTCCAACAGCCAAGATCCGGAACATTATTCACATCTGCTTTATTTATTTGACAACAATTACCATTTCAAAGGCTTCTGCTGTACAACCTCTCATTGCTTTCTGAAGAATTCTTCCTGATAATTCACTAGAGGTAGTCTCTTTCTTGTTATGGGATAACCGCCACATGTACCTGTTCTATCGTATAGTAGTTATTTACTACTATTTATTACTACTACTACTATGAGTTGTTTCCCCTGTTAAGATCCTTGAGGACAGGAGCTGTAGCCGCACATACCTGTTGAAAAATACTATTTGTAATAAAAATAATAGCTGCTATTTATTATACCCCCACCAGTTATCAAGTACTAGGTTCTGCCTTTCATTTACTCAATTTCATTTAATATTGATGACAACCCTATGAAAAACTCATTCCTTTTTATAACTAGGAAACAGACCCTCAGAGAGTCACCACTTAGCGACGTAGTAAAGCTAAGGTTTCAACTCTGGTTTGTCAAACCCCAAACCCATGCTGCTCCCATGGGCCTCACTACTATGATGGCAGAGAATTGCGGAGTTAAAGGCTGATCTACATGATCTACATCTCCAGCGATGGGGTATTCTCTCTCAAATAGCCTATTCAATTATGGGAAATTTTATTTCTTAGAAAGTAGTTCCTTACAATGAACCTAATAGGGCATGGTATCCTTCTCTGTCTTGGTGTGCTCCAGTGTGACCATAGAATATAGAAAGTCTGTAAAGAAGGAGGAAAACCGTCTTTAGTTAAGCTTTTTGGACAGCCCAGACTGTCCTCTGCACTACCCCAGGGGACATCCTTCACAGGGATCACCAGATGAATGGTACCCCCGAGTTGTGCAATGTGATAGTCCTGACGTATGCCAGAAATTAGAACTTATTAGGCACTTGGTAAATGTTGATTGCTGATGCTGATGTGTAAGTATAAAAGAGGAGGAGAGATGTTAAAAAAAAATTCGTTTAATAATCTGTGAGCCTACTATGTGAAATAAAGACAATAAGTGTAACTACTTTTAGGGTTGTTATGGGGATTAAATAAGTTATTATATGTAACCACCTAGAACAATGCCAGGTACATAATAAGCACCCAATAAGTAATAGTTATTTCATTTATAGTAGTTATTGTCAGGCATGTGAGTATTTGCAAAAGATACAATGGAAACTAAGACATGGTCTCTACCTTCAAAGGGTTTTTACACTGTATTATTTTCCTAAACTTAGTTGCCTCTGTAAGGAATGGAACCTCCCTCACGCACACCTTCTGAAGTCCAGTGAAATTCTACTACTGTGAAGAATTCTAGTTCTTCACCAAGAGGTGAGCATAAAATGTCCTACTCTATTCCACCATGTTTCAAAGAATAAGGAAAAAAGATAATTTTCTCTTGCCGGGCTACTACCATTATTAGGTATAAGGCCAGACTTGACACTCGTCTCATGGTCATTTCCTCTAAGGTCGCACTGTCCTCTACTATAGCAACCAGACACGTATGGCTATTTTAATGCAAATTTTCATTAAATAAATTTAAAACTCAGCTCCTCAGTTGTACTAGCCATATTTTAAGTGCTCCATAGCCACATGTAGTAAGAGACTGCCTTACTGAACAGTGCAGACATAGAACATTTCCATCATCACAGAGAGCTCCATTGAACAGCGCTACCATAAAGTGATAGCACATCGCTCAGAAATTTGAAGTGCCCATGGGATGCAGTTGCAAAGCTAAATCTCTAAGACACCAGCTCATACCTCAAATTACTAAGCATAAGCAATGAGCTCCCCGGGTTTAGGCAGCTTTGGGGATTCTATCAATGAAGACAAATGTCCATACATATTTCTCATGAGTTGATGATTTTCACTGCCTCTGCCAAAATAGAGGACTTCACCCTAGTGTCCTTACTGACTCTACCACAATCACTTAGACCGTATGAAGTGATGGGAATGCTAGAGAGAAAATTAGTTCACAAACTGTATTAGAAATAGAAACTGGGGCAAAGGGGCATCAAATAAGTACTGATATCAATTTGGACTTTGGGAGCAAGGACACCAATTCTGAGTTCCAAGACTTTGTGTGACATAAGCAAGTTTACTTTCATGGAGCTCCAGTTTTAGTGGCATTAAGAAGGGAGAATGATTGGTTTTTGGAAGGACAGAAATAAGCTCAAGTGTGTATAGCACTTACCACAGTGCCTGACACATGGCAGGCTCTCCACAAACAACTGCTAGCACTGCCCACATGTGGAGAGCCAGCAGAAATGGTCATCCGAAACTGTGAGCAAACATCTCTTTAATGCGTGCCTTGGTTTTTATCTGACATCCACTTCCCTCAGCTTTGTTGCAAGGCTAACACAACATTGTCTATATGAAAGTAGTAAGGTATACATTTTCAAATAACATAAAAATATTTTTACTTGTCTTATCTACTTAATGAGGTTGATTATTTTCCATAGGTATCTCACATGGATTATTGGTATAAAACTAGATAATATATTTGAGAGATTGTGGAAAAAATGGAAAAGAACTAGTCTCATGCATGGTTATGCTCTTTCTTATGCTCTATTTGGCATGGGAACACTTCAGGTTAATAGAAGCATTTAACCTCCCCCTTGACAAGAATGAACATAAACCAGATTAAACCGGCATGCTTCTGGGACCTAGATTGTACAAAGCCCCCTCTCCTCTTAGGAGGTTAGAAGGCTTTCCGGAAACAAAAGAAGTTATTAATCCTTGGTCAGCAGTATCTTGCATTTGTTAAGACAGCAAATTCAGTTTGACATTTTCTATTTATTTTTTTAGCACAGTTAGAGAGCTCATGGATGACTTGGAAAATCCTTCCAAAGTGGCATCTGACCTGTTTACTGCAAATGGGGCTATCAGGGAAACCAGAGAAATGAAAGTTAAGGAGATATCAGCTAAAAGTGTCACTCTTCCTACTTTAAAGAAAATAGAATTTGAATAAATCCTAATCTAGAATTAAAATGTCATAATGCAAGTCACATATCAATGTTAAATTTCCGGTATTCTGTTAGTCCACTGGCTGCCTTTACTCAGCCTCTTGTTCTTGCCACAGAGGGAAGAGGGATAAATAAGAAATGAAAGTCTTTCAAAAGGGAGAAGTGAAGAAAAGTGCCAGAATCTAGGTCTTGGCCTTTATTAACAACTCAGAAACTTCATTCCAGTGGGAAAAAATTACAAGGATTGAAAGTAGCACAGAAATAATCCTCTAGACCAAAAGGTTGCACACGTACTGCCCCATTAGAAGGTAGAGAGTTTGCTACAAATTGCATGACCAGCTATGGTTATTCACCTTTTTGACATTTGAAATGAGGATAGGCTGTCAGGAATGTCAAGATCTTCCAAGTCAGTGTCTACAGAATTTTTATTATAGCTACTTTCTTCTAAAATTGGGGATTCAATTAAGGAAGGTAGCCTCTATGACATTTAGATGTTCATAGTTTTCTTCCCTAATAAGCTCTCAATACTCCACATGGGTGACCCTGTCACCCTTGGGAACTCATCCTTCAACACCTCCTACTTGATAGGTCCCATATGTGAGTCCTCCCCTGGAGTGAACTACCTCAGTTCATTCATTCATTTATTCATCCAACCATCCATCCATCCACCATTTATTAATCCATTCATGCAAACCTCCAGTATTCATTTTCTTCTAACAGGTATGACTAGATGCTGGGAATAAAACAAAGCCACATGCCAATAAAGGTCTTCTCTCCTGTGCCTTTGCTTTCCCTCACCCCAGGGATTTATCAGAGACAATTTTAAAAGCTCACTTCCAGAGCTGAATTTTGGTTGGCAAAGCTGGTCTTCTTCATGAGGTTTTTTAAACCTCCTGTTGATTTCCTAGCACATGCCATATAGTTCCTTCTCTAAATATCTTTTCTTTTCAAGCCTCTAATTTTATTCATGAAAGACGATTGTGTTATCTGTGTACAAAGAAGAGAGAGGACTTCCACATGGACCTCCATATCTCCTTTTCATAAATCATGTACAGAAAGGCCATGAATTATTGCTACTATTTTTCCTGGAGAAAATAAGATAATGGCTCCACAATAAGAAAATAAATTCCTTTGAGAGCCAGGACCATACAATAGCATCTTTGTAAAAGCCATAGTGCCAAACCTAGTGCTGTGGACTACACACCCAATAGATGATGTTGCATAAAATAAAGCACAGGCAAAACTTAGTTCAAGATCCAACAAGTCCTCCTACAAAGCAAACAGGTATTTGCAGTGAGAAGAAACACCAGGATTGAGTTTCTGGAGCAGAATCTCATGGCAGAACTGTGCTTGGCAGAACCAGAATTAAAAATAGAAAAACTGTAAGAAGTCAGATGCCTGGATACGAAGAAGGAACTTTCAATACAAAGTTTTCTGACGGTGATTCTGGCTCCATCAGGAATGCTTCCCTCATTGCCACAAATCCAAGTCCAAAGCAGCACTCTTAACTTTGGTGATGGCATCAAGATGCACTCAGCTATAAAAGTCAGAACACATGGGAGTTGTCCTTAACATTTATCTCTTCCTTCTCACCATCCCACCCACAGATCCCTCACCAAGACCAGCCAATTCCACCTCTTGGATATCTCCTCAGTCTGTCTTCATGGCTCCATTCATGCTGCCACTATCCTAGTTCAAGCTATTATCATCCCTTGCCCAGATCACTCCAATAATCCCCCATCTTGTCTACCTCCATGCACTCTTGTTCCCCTCCAAACTATTCTCTCCACAATAACCACAGTGATCCTAAATAAATATCTGATTATCGTCTTGCCGTACATAGTGCCTTTCTATGGCTTCCTATTGCTGTCTTTGGGAAATTTCAATCCTCAATTTGTCAAGCTCAACACAAACCCACCCTTCTTTCTCACCTTTGTCGCATACTGCTGCTCTATCTTTCTTTCACTGCTCTCCAAACACACTGGCATTCCTTCAGGTCCCTAAATATGCCATGCTTCTTCTCATGTCAAGACCTTCACACTGCTGGGTCAGAGATTAAACCAGCTGACTGCTAATCTCTTACCCATCTCTGTGTATATGAGTGGAGTGGAACGGGATGGCCAAAAACAAATGGCTTTAGCTACCCTCCAGTTCTAAAGAAGAAAATAACACTACCAGGGGCTACAGTATCAACTGCAACATGATCTACATAGAATTTAGAAAATGTGAAATTTTTCTTCTAGGTCCCACTACCTCCTTCCTTTTCTTGCCTTTTTTTTTGTCATCCTACTCAAAACAACCACCAGCATCAAAGGCCACCAGATGCAAGGTGTATCCCACCTATGGCCATCTTATTTGGGTACCTCTGGAATTATCTCTATTCGCTTCTTCAATCTTCTTTCCAAAGGTCCTTTTTGATCCCATTCTTCAAATCTCTGCTGTTAACTTCCCACAGTAAGTTGATGAAGGAGAAAGAATGTAGGGAATGATAACAGTAGAGTTACTGAGCCCGGAATACTGAGCACACAGTCCAGCTCTGCTACATCCAGGCCCTATGACACTAATATGTCATTCTTTCCTCATATTGTACATTTGATTATAAAAAAATCATTTTCAGGGGCCGGCCCAGTGGTGGTGTTGCTGAGTTTGCATGCTCCGCTTCAGTGGCTCAGGGTTCGCTGGTCTGGCTCCAGGCTCGGACACACATATCACTCATCAAGCCATATTCTGGCAGAGTCCCACTTACAAAACGGAGGAAAGTTGGCATGGATGTTAGCTCAGCGACAATTTTCCTCAAGCAAAAAGAAGAAGATTGGCAACAGATGTTAGCTCAGGGCCAATCTTCCTCACCAAATAAAAGAAAGAAAGAAAGAAAATCATTTTCAGCTGCCCTTCAGTGTTTCTACATCTCCAGGGCTTTTTCCGTGTTCCCTCTGCCAGGATCACTCTTCCCACTGCCCCCTTTCCCTGCCTTACTCTTACTTTGATGATCTCTCCCCAAGGAGCTCCTCCCTTAGTCCCTAAGTCTGTGTCTCAACATTCTCCACTTCCCTCATAAGTGCACTTGTCATACGTGGTAACCATCTTCTTTCAAATTCACTTTCTCTCACTAGCTCTCAACTCCAAGGAGACAGGAGAGATGAATGTCTTACACAGTAATATTCTCCAGGACTTGACACTATGCCGAAGTAAACAGTCAACATATGCTGAGTGAATAAAAATGCCAAATAAAGACTCTATTCATTCACCTATAAACTCTACAGGGTTGCTGTGGTGATTAATTTATTATATATTTAAATATGCCAAGTGTAGTGCCTGGTACAAAATAGCTATTTAGTTTTGTCTAGCAAATAGTAGTGGCTCAATAAATATCATTAATTCATTCACTGACATGCATCTATGGCTACCATTGGCTAAATTTATTACTCCCCTCTGCAGTAATGTATTTGAAATTGGCATGTACCTTTTTGGAAATACAAAGTCTTTAATTCACTGAACAGTATTGAGATTTCATGGCAGGCAGTCAGTTTAACATCTAGGCAGGCAGTCTTTTTCACTCTTGAATAACAGCACAGTGGAAACACTCATTTTTCTGTCTATATGGGGATGAAGTTTTGCCAGAAGCATCCCCTGAAGTTACTAAAGTCAGGGTTGATGTGCCTGGTGTGAATGATGGGGTTCCTGGCCAGGCTTCTGGTATACCTGCAGCAGCCCCACTGGAATGCCACCTGGGAAGAGGAGGAATAGGAAGCAATGAGAAGTCAGTGGCAGCCCACAGCTCAGCAAACAGTAGAAATCCATCAGGTGAGCAGATGCTAATTTCTGTTATTGCTGAGTCCTCTCCATCTGTGGGTTGTCATTTGCTCCTTTCCTTCTTAGTCCATTCTGGCATCATCAGGTTCCCTCCTCTGTCACATTAGCCTGGTCCTCCGTGCTGCTTATATTTGCCTGTCAAATGACTGTGCTCTTGCCCAGAAGCGGTGGCAGTGAAGGAGAGATGCAGATTGAGTCAGCGAGCCGCAGCTCTCGTATAGAAGCTGACTGCCTCATTTTCGGTCCACTGCCTCTGTGGCTTCTCCCCTCTCTGCTTCTCCTCGCAGCTGTTCCATTCTCCCCTTCTTTGTCCTCACATCTCCCATTAGCTGTCTTTTATCCTTTCTCCTCTGCTAGTCCTGTTTCCTCCTGCCTGCCATCACTTTCCTTCAATCCTTTCTCTCTCTGACACTGATTTTCACTTCAAATGCTACGTGATAAACGCATTGAACAAAAAGGTAGAGACAAAGACAAATCCAGCAAAAGTGAAGAGTATAAAGCTATACCTTTTTTCCCTGAATATATCTTTCTTTCTAGGAATCTGAAAATAGATTACCTAAGTTGATTCCACTTAATAACAACGCTTTTGTCACCTAAAAGTGAAGATCTATCATTCTAGGAATTATGTCTTAACCAATTTCAGCACTGGGATCATATCTTCTAATAGGGGAACTTCTGAAAGGAAGACTATGTATCAAATAGCATCTAGCCTGAGTAATTCCTCACTCTTTCAGGAAGTAAAGGAAAAGAAGCCTTGATTTGGTCCTGAAAGTGGCTCAGAAATGAGAGAATTATAACCGTGATATGTAGAATAGTTTCATGTTCATTCCTGTCTCTCCATCCCACCTATATGAGTTTCAGACAGGTGGCTACCAGCCAGAGGGGGGCCGACGCCAGGATTTGAAGATTGGAGATCAAGCCTGGATAAAGAAATATTTATCTGAAGTAGTGAGGAATGAAGCAAACAGAAAGAAAAACTAGCCCAGTGGTTCTCAAAGTGTAGTCCCTGGACCAGGAGCCTCAGTATCCACTACTTGGGAACATTTTAGAAAAGCAAATCCCTGGCTTCTGTTCCAGACCTACTGAATCAAAAATTGGTTCCATAACCAATTGCGAACTCCAGGTCTGAGGAATCAGATAACGCTTCAGGTACCCTTGTGATTTAAAAAGAGGCTAAATAGGGACTGGGAACACAGCAGCATAGGGGGATCTGAACTCACCTCCCCACATGGACACAACAAATTTACAACTACCCTTGGAACAATTACCCTTGACAGAGAACCGGAAACTGGATTAAAAGAACCCCCACCACAAGAGACAGTGCCGACTGATGTGGAAGAGGCAGAAATATCTTTCTGGAGAGGAAAAAAGCCACATGTGGTGCTTCATGGCCAGGAGCAATCTTAAGCCATATAGGGGATCTCCCCCACCTTCCAAACCAGAAAAAATTGTGTGCTACCATGCCTGTGGCTGGCCCCATGCAGCTGCGCTACTGAGAGCTGACAACAGCCTTGCAGGCCAGAGGCCTACAGCAACTGAGACCCCCTGAGCCTGGCAACCAGCCACACTGGGGGTCTCCTCACTTAACAGAAAAACTGCATCAGGAATGTGCTATTAGGCCCTGCAGCCAACTGTGCTGGGGTTCCACCTGCCCAATAAAGTGACTAAGGGACTGCAGCAGCTGCTTGAAGCTGAGCCTTACAACCAGATGGCCAGGGGGACAACCTAACCTTCGCATGCACCTGCAGTAAGAGCAACCCTGACACAACAGAAGGACACCTGTACATCACACAGGGGACACTACAGGAACATTTGGAACCTGTGACGACAGGGAAGCACATTGCTGAGCCGCATAAATCATCTCTTACATAAGGTACTTCTCCAAGATCAGGAGATGTAGCTGATCCACCTAAAACATAGACATTAGCACAGAAAATAGGTAGAATGAGGAGACAAAAGAATGTGTTCCAAATAAGGGAACAGGACAAATCCTCAGAAAAAGAAGTAAAAAGTGAAACAGAGATAAACAATCTACCTGATAAAGAGTACAAACTAATAGTCATAAGAATACTCACCGATCTTGGGAGAAGAATAGATCTACACAGTGAGCTGGATGAATGACTAGAGGAAATCACCCAAGCAGAACAGAAAAAAAGGTTTAAAAAAGAACAAAGACAGTCTAAGGTACCTCTGGGACAATATCAAGTGCACTAAAATCAATCCCCATGGCCGAGTGGTTAAGTTCGCATGATCACCTCAATAGATGCAGAGAAAGCATTTGACAAGAAACAGCATCCATTTATGATAAAAGCTCTGAATAGGGGCTGGTCCGGTGGCGTAGTGATTAAATTTGCATGCTTGGCTTCAGCAGCCTGGGGTTGGCTGATTTGGATCCTGAGTGCGGACCTACACACCCCTCATCAAGCCATGCCGTGGTGGCATCCCACACAGAAGAACTAGAAAGACTTACAGCTTGATATACAACTGCGTACTAGGGCTTTGGGGAGAAAAAAAAAGAGTAACATTGGCAACAGATGTTAACTCAGGGCCAATCTTCCTAACCAAAAATAAAAAAAAACAAAAAACTCTGAATAAAATGGGTATAGAAGGAAAGTGCCTCAATATAATAAAGTTCATAGATGACAAACCCACAGCTAATATCATACTCAATGGAGAAAAACTGAAACCTATGCCTCTCAGAACAGGAACCAGACAAGGATGCCCACTTTCACCACTCTTATTTAACATTGTATCGGAACTCATGGCCAGAGAAATCAGAAAAGAAAAAGAAATAAAAGAGATCCAAATTGGAAAGGAAGAAGTGAAACTGTCACTGTTTGCAGATGACATGATTTTATATATAGAAAGCCCCAAAGAATCCACCAAAAAACTTTTAAAAATAATAAATGAATACAGTAAATTTACAGGATACAAAATCAACATATAAAAATCTATTGTGTTTCTATACACTAAAAATCGAGTAGCAGAAAGAGAAATTAAGAATACAATCCCCATTTACAGTTGCAATAGAAAGAATAAAATACCTAGAAATACATTTAACCAAAGCGCTGAAAGACCTGTTCACTGAAAACTAGAAAACATTGTTGAAAGAAATTGAAGAAGATACAAAGAAATGGAAAGATATTCCATGTTCTTGGATTGGAAGAATTAACATAGTTAAAATGTCCATACTTCCTAAAGCAATCTACAGATTCAATGCAATCCCTATCAAAGCTCCAACAAGAGTTCTCACAGAAATAAAACAAAGAATACTAAAATTTATATAGAGCAACAAAGGACCTCAAATACCCAAAGGAATTCTGAGAAAAAAGGACAAAGCTGGAGGTATCACACTCCCTGATTTCAAAATACACTACAGCACTATAGTAACCAAAACAGCATGGTACTGGCACAAAAAGAGACACAGAGATCAATGGAACAGAATCAAGAGCCCAGAAATAAACCCACACGTCTATGGACAGCTAATTTTCAACAAGGGAGCCAAGAACATACACTGGAGAAAGGAAATTCTCTTCAATAAATGGTATTGGGAAAACTGGACAGCCACATGCAAAAGAATGAAACCAGACTATTATCTTATACCATATACAAAAATTAACTCAAAAGGATTAAAGATTTGAATGTAACACCTGAATCCATAAAACTTCTAGAAGAAAATGTAGGCAGTACGCTCTGCAACATCAGTCTTAGAAGCATGTTTTCAAATACCATGTCTACCAGGCAAGGGAAACAAAAGAAAAAATAAACAAATGGGACTACATCAAACTAAAAAGCTTCTGCACAGCAAAGGAAACCATCAACAAAAATGAAAAGACAACCTAACAATTAGGAGAAGATATTTGCAAACCATATATCTGATAAGGGGTTAATATCCAAAATATATAAAGAATTCATACATCTCAACAACAAAAATACAAATAACCCAATTAAAAATGGGCAAAAGATCTGAAAAGTTTTCCAAAGAAGATATATGGATGGTCAACAGGCATATGAAAAGCTGTTCAACACCGCTAATTATTAAGGAAATGCAAATCGAAACCACAATGAGCTATCACCTCACTCTTGTCAGAATGGCTATAATTAACAAGACAGGAAATGAGCGTTGGAGAGGATGCTGAGAAAGGGGAATTCATACACTGCTGGTAGGAATGCAAACTGGTGCAGCCACTACGGAAAACAGTACGGAGATTCCTCAAAAAATTAAAAATAGAACTACCATATGAACAAGCTATTCCACTGCTGGATATTTATCCAAAGAACATGAAAACACAAATATGTAAAGATATATGCATCTGTATGTTCATTGCAGCATTATTCACAATAGCCAAGACTTGGGAACAACCTACATGCCCATGGAGGGGTGAATGCATGAAGAAGATGTGGTATATATGCATAATGGAATACTACTCAGCTATAAAAAAAAGATGAAATCTTGTCATTTGCAACAACGTGGATGGACCTTGAGGGTATTATGCTAAGTGAAGAGTCAGAGAAAGTCAAATACCCTATTCTCTCACTCATGAATAGACTATAAAAACAAAAACAAGAAGAAACAAACACATAGACACAGAGATTAGATTGGTGGTTACCAGAGGGGAGAAGGGGAGGGAGGAGAGCAGAAGGGATGACTGGGCACATGTGTGTGGTGATGGATGGTAATTAGTCTTTCAGTGGTGAACATGACGTAGTCTACATAGAAACCGAAATATAATGATGTACACCTGACATTTGTACAATGTTATAAACTAACGTTACCTCAATGCAGAAAAAAAAGGAACTGCTTAACCTTGGAAAAAATAAAATAAAAAAATTAAAAGGCTACAATATAGTTACAAAATTTTAAAAATAAAATGAGGCTAAATAAATAACTATGACTTAGAAATGACAAGGAAAG